AGAAGAAGAAGAAGAAGAAGAAGAAGAAGAAGAAGAAGAAGAAGAAGAAGAAGAAGAAGAAAGAGGGGGAGGAGAAAGAAAGGAAGAAAGAAAGAAAAAAGAAAAAAGGAAAGAAAACACTGGTTCCTAACGAATGGGGAGTCAGCCTAAACTGAGGGTCCTGGGAAGTATAGAGGCTATATAATCCCCCCTCCCTGCTTTGGTGAGGCCCTGCCCCTGTATCCCAGCATGATGGGAGGCAGGATGTGGACCAGGTTTGCTGACAGCAGTGGTTATTTCTTCATGGTGCTTAGGGGCCCGGCGGTAGCCTCATAGGACCCAAGGCCCCTCTGATGGGGAAACCCTGGGCTTTGACAGCTGAGGTCACATGCATCCAAACACAACAGGAGCCAGCACAGTGTCCGGGAAACAGGGGTGCCCCAGGGACCTGCTCCTGAGCTGGACAGAGATCAGGATACAAGGCTGACTCATCAGGCGTCAGGGTCATGCTATGGTCAGTCTGCCCAAGCCTCTGTCCAAGCTTCCAAACCCCAGGTCATCCCCTTCCTTCATCCCAAGTGTACTCAAGCCATCATCACCAAGCCCCTAGACTTGGTGTTATAACCAAGAACCTTCTGACTTCGGAGCAGCCCCTGCTTGCTAAGGGACAGCACCCTCCTCACTCAGCTCAACTCCTCCTGTAGCCTCCTTGCCTCTGAGCCTCCTCTTTCCTCCAGTGCTCCTCCCCTGGTCCAGCAAACCCTAATCCCAGAGATTTTTCTAGCTTGTCTTTTGCTAGCTCTTTGGGGTCTTGGGTGGCTTTGTCCCTTTCATTCCTTCACATTCTCCTCTGCTCATCTAGCAAGTACTCCTGGGCTCCTGCATAGGGTGGGTGGTCTTTCTGCCTGGGACGCGTGCCCCTTTCTTGGCTCTGCTCCCTCTTGGAATCCTGGGAACTGTCCTTTCCTGGAACTTCTCCATGCTTTTGGATACCCTTCATCAGGCCAAGGGTACCTCCTTCAGGCCATGTGTGTAAATGGGATACCATGCATTTACCACCTGCTCCTTCCTACCAGGACCCCCTCACACATGCCATGCAGCTCTGTGTGTCCAGTATGGCTCATGGGACATACAGGAAATGAAGGGCCACTCTGAGGGGTGTGGGTGCAGTTCCCCTTCAGCCAGGAGGGTATGCACTTTGTTCATGGCTGAAGCAGGCTCACCTGTGCCTCCAAAGCCAGGAGCCAGAGGAGCTGTCGCAACCCCAGGAGGGTGTTGTCACAGGCTTCACAGTGATTGGGAGCTGGGGCACTGACAACAGCAAACATCAGGGCAGGTGACGACCTCGGTTTCCCTGGAGATAAGGGCCACTTGGTCCTGGCAGCTCCAACTTCCACGTCAAGCTGGAAGAAGTATCCTGGAGTCGATGTGTCTAATGGGAGCCAAAAGTGTGTCACAGATGGGCCTTGACTCCCGTGTGTCCAAGGATGGGTGTGTCACAGATGGGCCTTGACTCGCCGTGTGTCCAAGGATGGGTGTGCCATTTCCACATTAGAACCTGGGTGCCTGAGGGGTCCCCGTAGGGTCCTAGTTCTTTAAACAGAGTCCCCAATGGGATTGGGGAGCAGCCTTAGTCACTCCATACCATGATCTGAAACAGTGAAGCTGCTCTGGCCTGTGGGTCCAGAACTTGTCTACTAAAGTAGTCTGCTAGAGTGTGTCACTTAAGCTATGGCGTCATCTACTCCTGACGTAGTGTCTCTTACTTCCCTTCCGGGCTGCCCACTCCTGCCAATATCTCCAAGAGGCACTGTTCTGTGACATCCAGACCAGCGTCACAGACCACTGAGCCCAAAGAGTTTATCTCACTGACAATCTGTATAAATATATGTCTGCAATTAACAATATTCAGTTGTCAACATTTAAAAACAAAAATATACGATATTTTGTCTTTAGAATCTTTTAAAGATTTATTGATTGATTTTTCTAATCTAAAGGAATGACTTTTATTCTTTGAGAATTTTATATGCTCAGGTAATGTGCTTTGATCAAATCCGTCTTCTTCTCTCCTCCTCCAATTTCTCCCTTATCCCCCCTCCAAACCCACAGTCTTAGCTGGAGGGGAGAACTCACTGTGCCTTCCAGCCAGCTGGCAGCTGAATAGCTCTGCAGAGGGTGAGGGTTCAAACCCAAGGTGCGCTCTTCAGGTTAGGATCTGTGTGGCAGATGCTGGTCTTTGCCAGGTGTGTGTCCCTCAGATTCAGTCCCACCAAACAGCCTCTGACCAGATTCACCAGTGGCCAATGTCCTAGTCACCTCTGGGGTTTGACAGTTTCCTCACCTGTGCCTTGTGCTCAGGACACAGGACACTCAGACATGAAAATGTGGGCACACATGCCAGACTCTGCCTGGGAGAGAGGACAGTGGATGGCCTGAAATCCAGGTGGAAAAAGAAAACACAGATCTTTTCTGAACTGTGGTGTCACAACCTGACTTAGGGTCCCAGGGTAAATGTCAGGGGCCCAAGGGTGTGGGACATGGGATGAGTTGGAGGGAGAGGAGGGAGGGGGAAATGATCTGAACACAGTAACCATATGTAAAGTTCTAAAAAGGATGAATAAAAACGGTTAAAAGACAACTTAACCCTTTAAAAGAGACTTGCGGTCTATCGTGACCCGTCTCCCTCCAGGCCCTATGGCTGCACTCTTTATTCAGGGCACTGTTCCCACCCATGCTCTCTTACCCTGCTATGCTGCCTTATACAAACCTTGCACATCTGGGCCCCAGACAACCTTTCTATCCACATCTGGATCGAGGCTCTGCCTTCAAAGGGGTGTCTTGGGTCACAAGGCCAACACAGGTTGAGTAGGATCCAAGTCTCCTGGTCACATCACCCTGAAATGGTGCTTATTCCTCATGCCACCCTTGACAGCTTGATGGACTTTGGGGCCTCCCTCCCTGGGCAAGGAGTAGGGTCCTCCTAAACTTTGAAAGCGCGGGAGCTGGAATATTAGGGGTTTTCCAGGAGGCCACCAGAGTTCCTCTACCTGACCTTGCTGGTCCAGGCAT